CAGAATCTTGCGGGAACGGGCGGGAGCGGGACTGAAAAATCCGTCCCGCGCAGGTCTCTAGTCTACGGGAATGACTTCCTTTTGGAGTCGGTCTCTAGCAGCCAGTCGATGAATTGCAGTTTAAGTCACTTCCGTGTTGGTTTCAAGAGACAGACTGGAAGGTTGTCGCTTGGGTGTAACTCACCACAGAAACACCAATTTTCCCTCCCAACTCAAGGCATTTTTGTAATCACTCCGCTCCAGCTCCACTCCAGGTTTTCATTTTCCCACTCATTCACCAATGAGAGAAACCCTGCTTTGAGCAATCCAAACCACAGAAGAAAAAAACACTCCTCGCTGTACACAAAATTGTCTCTGCTCACTGCACAGACAAAATTATGTGTAGCAGTGTTACCATGACACCTCATCTATAAATTGTTAATTTATATTCATGTTGAGAAGGCAATGAGAATGATGTAACGGCTGTACTACTGCGACTCAACTTCTATCGTCAGTCACGCGAGATTCACTTCTCATAGCGAGATAAGGAATGAATGTTTAAAAAACATCAGATAACATTATATGTGTCACTTTGACAGAGCCGAGGACCCTTTGGAGTTCCATCATGGCAGCATGTCCTGATGCAGAGGACCATTGGATCAAGAAGAAAATAAAGCGCCTACACATTCTGGAATTCATTATAGGTGAAACAAGACTTCTGAATCTTTCTCTCTGCTCATATTAACCTGCAAAAGTCCAGGTCCAAAACATCCACATAGATGCAGTGCAAATGGATTGGACAAAAACTTCAAAATTCCTCACACTGCATATAGTTTTTCTGAGCTAGCAAATGAAATAAAGGAGTTTATTTAATGTTAGCTGTTAAACTAACAGAGTGAGGAATCTGAAAGTCCTTTAGATTGATGAGTAGACTCAAATGATCAAATGAATGCAGTGAAGAATTGATGATGCAGTCCACAGAAAAGTTCTTCTTTTTAATGTTGAAACACAGTATCATCTGACTCTAAGGTAAGTGTGGAGTGTGTGTGTGTACTGGTCTGTCCATAGTGTTGTATGTTTACATGTGTGTAAATGGCTCAGTGATCGGCTCAGTGTGTGATGCAATAACTTTGTCCCAGCCTTTACATTCCTAATCCAATTAGAACACTTCTCAGGCCGTCTGCCTGTAACATTTTGTGTATGTAGACTCTAAAAAAAGTACATGAAACAGGGTCCACTGTGCTAATTGAAGGAATTTTCTGTATTAATTTTTGAATTCACAGGAATTTTCCCCAGATTTTAAATAACGCATTGTACTGTGTTGTATTTTAGGGTTGAACGAAACTTAACGCAGGGCTTGCAAAATCGCTAGCCCGACGTCCCAGGGCTATTGTGTTTTACTTCCAAAATGCATCACCGCCCTGCCAGACTGGCTATCTTGAATAGTGAAATAAAATCCCTTCCTTGATTCGCGTTGTTCACTCGCTTGTAGGGGTGAAACGGATCGTATGATCATTTGCACGTGTTTCTAAGTCTTGCCAATTTAAACATTCAAGCACTTTAAACCATTCATTGCAAGAAGAGGCGAAGGAGAACTCAATTCAGTACTCACACACTGTTTTCTGTGTGCACACACTTAAAGCACACACACAGAGCCACGTTTCATACAGCGTGCAAACACAGAATTGATTCTTCTTTCGTGTTTCATGCTTGAACGGACACATACACACAAAATTCTCTCAAAATACCCGTCTCAGCAAGTATTCTTGTAAACACAGTCGGTTATGTCTTATGTGAAGTGAACATAAACAAAAAGAAATCGCATGTGTATCATTATATTAGATCCGTGCATTAGGTCTTAAAGGGACAGCAGCCTATATACCTGCTGCTGTCTGTGTCATTAATGTTAATCAAACAACAAAACACAACTTTAACAAAGATCAATCTGTATTTAATTTATACAGTGAACACTATGCAGTGTTATTTTACGCTTAATTATTACATTTCTGTGCCTGAAAACTAATGTTAGACCTTTATTTCTAGCTTTGTTATATTTTATCTTTTATCTATTCTTATTCTATTAATGACGGTTCACTTGTCTTTAATAATGTTTGACCTTTATTAGTTATGCTAATAGTTTTTGCTGTGGTATCAAAGAAGTACTTAGTGTTTTTTAAATAATAATAATATATATTTTTTTAATTATCTGATCTGTGACTCAAAATCCTTAATAATCCGAACCGTGAGATTTGTGATCTGTTGCACCTCTACAGTCTTGAAAAATACAATCACTGAAGTTTTCAAACATGCTGATTTGTCCACAGGGATCTTCAGCCGATATCTTTTTTATTCAGGCTAGTTAAGCTCATTTTGGGCTACCAAAATCTGAAGAATGCCTGCCCGAAGGGCTACCAGGGATTTTAAAATTTTGCGAGCCCTGTACAACAAAAAAAAAAGTCCATTAAATTAGGCATTAAATTACCAATACCTCTTACTATTAAGCACCGCCTGTGAGTGATGTTTGCGTGACGGGCGTGTTGTGATACACCTGATGTGTGTAACTCTGTTTGACACTTTTAGCCTGCTGAAAGATCTATTACTGGCTAGGATCCTATAACTGATAGACTAAGTGTACATTTTTAAGCTATTTAGCATTGCTCAGTGCTAACTTAACATAGTAAGCATAATCTGTCCTAACTGGTCCACTACCCGTAATCCTCCCATGTGAATGTGAATGAATTGTAGACGATTCTTACGTTATAGTTCAACCTAGCCATTAGCGTTAGCTGCCCATGCTAATGATGGAGTACATCCATTATCTCTTAGAGAGAGAGCATGAGCAGACCTTTTTTATAAGGGAACATGGGCGTGAGGGGGAATTAAACCCCACTCTACAGGCCACTAATCTAATAAAGAGAGAGAGAGAGAGAGGGAGAGAGACAGAGACAGAGCAGTAAACTGAAATGTTTTATTGTGAAATTCATTGACTATGCACCCCTATCCCAATTCTATAGCACAAATTTAATTCCTGGATCCATTTTAGTGATCTAGCAGTTCACAGACTCCTACCTGTAATGAATGAATAGGGAAACCTCAACAATATTTGGTGCTTAATCCTCTTGAAGACGGAAGGGTGTGAGAGGGGAGGTGGTATCCTTAAGTTTAAGCTTTAAAGAGAGATTTAAAGGAAGGGATCGCCTGCAACGCCTTTGTGCTTAAAAAGAAATAGAGAGCTGTTTTTAGTGAACAACGTGGTTAGGCAGAATAGCTGCTAATATGTTATTATCATTTATTATTAAAATGATTAATATTTAATCAGGCAACAATAATGAAATAACTGGAATAGTTGATTAGAATAGAAAGTGATTTCTAGCAGAAGAGTGGAAAAAAGGCAGGTGCATGATGATCAAGAGGTGTTTTTCCTTATTCATAATGCAAACTGCCTGAGGTACAAACTGTTCTGGAAACTCTTCAGAGAGCACATTGCTGTTTTTGCTATTGGGATCCTCCTTTTGTGCATTAATTGCTTAGGTAAGGGAATTGTTATGGTTAGAAATTATGGGCTAGTTATTTTAAAAAGTGAAGACCAGGGAAAAATGAAAATAATTTTAAAGTATATTAGAACCATTGTTACATTTCCTATTATTGCCATCTAATCAGCCGTGTTAAATTTTGCACAAAAAAAAATCTTCAGTTGGTGTGCATTCAAACCTTATGTTTACGGTACAATAATAAACAACAAGACAATTGCTTAAAATTAATGGGTGTAATGTTGCTGGTTAGTTTGGCTCAACCCTTTATTGAGTTTTTTTTTTTTTTTTTTTTTAATAAATTGGAAAATATTTATATATAATCAGGGCTGGTGAAAAAGTAGGCGGTCACTACTGTGCAAGTGAAAATGGCTGGGCGAGTATTGCAGTCTAACGACTTTGATGTGCTGTATGCAGTATTGATAACAATGTTGACAGCAGTAAAATAAATGGAAAGTGAGATCCTAATCCTGTGTAATCTGAGAACATAATGTGACCATGAGTCATGATCTGCAGGGATCTCTCTCTTTTTTGTCACGGTATATTATTTATATCTTTGTCTTTGTTGGTCCTTCTCTTTGTTGACCATGAGGCTCCAGATTGTCTCTCACATTCCTTGGTGGGACATACTTGATATTGAAGCACAATAAACTTCAACCCTTCATAAAAAGTAATTTTGCAACAACACCACAATATGCAGAGCCTACAATATAAAGAGAGACCACATTTCATACCACTGTAGGAGGAAGAGAGGTTGACCACACATTACCAATATTTTGCTGTACACACCATTCTGTTTGCCACAGCTGTGACCATTATAAATGTGTGTATATATATATATATATATATGTGTGTGTGTGTGTGTGTGTGTGTGTATAAATATTCCTTCTTTTCCTTCTTCTTGAGTAGAACAGTAAAGAAGAATTTATTTTCGCTGAAATCATGGTCTTTGGTGATTCATAAAATGCTAGTCAGCGGCTGTCCGTCTTTGAGAATAAAAAAAGCATATCAAGGAATACAAAATTAATACCCGTGGCTCCTGACGAAATATTGAAGAGTTATGATGCAAAACGATTGGTCTGTGCAAGCTGAACATTATTTACATAAACTGAACTGAAACTGAACATTATTACCTGAGCAAATTTTCATTTTTGGGTGAACTATCCCTTTAATGGTTACATGACATGCAGGTAAACAAATATTTATTCTTTTTTTTAGTATGTGTTTTATTTTGATTGTTGTTTTTTTAAAATTATTTATTTAAATTTTACATGTTTATGATTGAATTACTAGCTTTTCATCAACTCACAAACAAATTTGATCATATCATATATCATATATATATATATATTAAAGAAATACATATGTATTATGTATAAAGTAATTTAAATTAGTTGTATATACATGAATACTGTATGACTCATGAGTACCTATAGACTCACAATCTACTGCAAATACTGTGAAATGCAAAGTGGTCAGACTATGATTGGCCGGATTCAATATATGTTGTGTCTGATTGGCTAAAGAGGATATACTAAAAATGAAACAGACACTGTCAGAAAAGTTTTAAAACATCCAAAAATGTCTGACAATTTGCAAATGAATATTCAACAATAAGTTCATAAATGTAGCTACTGCAGATCGTCTGTATAACAGATATTAGTGATTTTTTCACTATCATTGAAATATTACAACTATTACAAATAGTTTGTGATAACATGTACAGGATTTGAAAGCTGAGACTTTGTTTCTTATCAGAAGTAACAAAGCACAAAGCTCTTTGTGATTATTGGATGGGAGGCGCATTACAAATAATGTTTGTTGTAGAGAAAAAGGTGGATCTGGCAACCCTGGCTTGAACTTTGGGTGATTGATATGGTCGAATAGAGCCTGGTTTAATGTCGCTATCTTTTTAACTGACAGATATTAGTGATTTTTTCACTATCATTGAAATATTACAACTATTACAAATAGTTTGTGATAACATGTACAGGATTTGAAAGCTGAGACTTTGTTTCTTATCAGACGTAACAAAGCACAAAGCGCTTTGTGATTATTGGATGGGAGGCGCATTACAAATAATGTTTGTTGTAGAGAAAAGGTGGATCTGGGAACCCTGGCTTGAACTTTGGGTGATTGATATGGTCGAATAGAGCCTGGTTTAATGTCGCTATCTTTTTAACTACTAATGTGTTATTGTCGCGTTAACTAACAACAGCCCTAAATTCAACATGAGAGTTTTCTTCACACACAGTACGAGTTGCAGTCTGACATGGTTTTCCTCCCCTTTTTGATTGACAGGATTGAATCAGCCCTGATCATCAGCTGTTTTTTAACAATCAGCCAAAGGCCGATAATTGCTTTAATCAGCCAATACGATTATTGGCCGATACATTGGTGCATCCCTAATTATTACCTTTTTTCCATTACAATAAATAGTGCCCCAATGGTGACCTTTCACCCTGTGTGTAGCTAAATGGAGGAGCGGGACCGCAGTCGCTCACCATCTCGCAGGACCAGCAGAGTAGAGCAGGTGGTGGGACGCTGGCTTCGCCGCTCCAGAGAGTCCATCAGCCGGTACCTTTTATATCTAAAAATGATTGTGTGAATGAGTACATTTGCTTTTCTTTTTCTTTTGTGTTTAAATAGCATCACCCTCTCTCTCTCTGTCTGTACACAGAGAGCGTGTGCTAGAAGATGGGCAAGTTGCCGACAATGGCTCCCAGGAGCAGAGGAGCTGTCCAATTAGAGTCACTGTTAAGATCCCACTTGACCCCACCCTTAACTCCCATGGCTTTACTGTCTCAACACACACTCTACCGCAGGTGCTGGACGTGACAGAAGGTACAATACACACACCATCATCTCTAAAAATGCTCATCAGCTCAAATGGATTCGAAGCCATACATTATCCCACTATGAGAATCTCTAGATTAGTTTGTTGGTAGGAAAAAATGTGCACCTTATGAACTTATGAAAATGTCATCAAATGTCATAATATGAAGACAATGACCATGTCTGTTGAGGCAGCACATTCGATCTGAGGCAGCACTCTAAACAGGTTGAATAAATTCCTGCTGAGATTGTTACATTTTGAAGTTAAATTTTGATTATACAGCACACAAGCTCTTCATGGAAATCAATAAAACAGCTACAGTGCATTAGCTACCAAACAAGCTTCCATTACTACAGAAAGGATACTGCGGTAATATATTTATTGCTCAAATAAACTTGAGTCAAATCGCATTATATCTTCAAGAAAAATTCATATTAAAGGTTACGTAAAAATCACCATCTTTTTATTTTCACTATAAAATATGATGATGAATGAATCTATTAGTGTATATTTTTATGACATATCCATTATATAGAATATTAAAAAGAGTTTTTACTAATACATTAATTTACTTACATTAGGTACTCATGATCAAAAGTTGTATCTGCTAACGTTAGTTAATGCACCGTGAACTAACATGAATATTAACATAAGTAATATTAATGAAAGTTCATAAATGCTGTAAAATAGATTGCTCATAGTTAGTTGACGTTAGTTAATGTATTAACTAATGTTAAGAGATGAGACCTTATTGTAAAGTGTTAAAGCTTTTATCGTTTAATTGTGCAAAGAAATCTGAAACTTTTTTTTTTAAATGTTGACTGAACATACGTTTGATAATTGAAATGTGACCCAGCAGCTATTTGCATGTATTGCCTGCATGTAGAGCAACATATTGGCTGACTGGTTTGGCACATGGAGCTTCATCTACAGGAAACTCTACTCTTGGAATGGCTAAAGCCATCTGGTTACCCCACAGCCAAATAACTAGCCAGTAATTAGGACAACATTAACACTTTTTTCACAAACATTCTTATAAAGCAGCATAACTATGACAAATCAGGTTGGTAATTGAATTCTAAACCTTGTACAAATGATTGACAGAACTACAGTATCATGGTATTCGTGTCTGTTTTTATAGGTGGCCCTGCTGATGGAAAGCTTGTCCCTGGTGACCAGCTTTTCAAAATTAACAATGTTGCTGTTGATGATCTATCTACAGAGCAGGCTGCTGACATAATCAGGTATGTTGCAGGTGTGAGTGTTTATGTGAAACTATAAAATGAGCTAAATCTGGCTGCCCAGATGTCCAATATTTTAGTTCATTTTCATGGGGCCAAATTTTTTATAAATTTGTATCTTCAGAACATATACTATATTAGGAAAAATCTGTTTACTCTAGCTGCATTTGTACCAGTAATTCTGCCATACTCTTTTTAATTTATTTACAGAGAATGTCAGAACACCATAATACTGACTGTCCTGAGAAATACTGTGGTAAGTGTATGTGCACAAGTTAGAGACTCTCTCTCTCTCTCTCTCTCTCTCTCTCTTACACTCTGTTGTGTCTGAATGAGGTATGGCAGGAGGATGTGGTATTGTGCTGCATTATGGCAGCAGGAAGAAATGATGACCAAAAGTTTTTTTTTTATAATAATCAGGCCCAAAGGAAATCTGTGTCTACAGAGCTCAGCAGAAAGCTCCCTAAATTTCTGCTGAATTTGAAGTGCCTGGTAAAGTGCAAATCTCCCATCCCTTATTTGTTCTTATTTTAAATATTTTGTTTAATTTGATTATGCTTTCAGCTTCCAATAACCCTGTTAAACACATTTTATCTTACATACCTGTACATCTATTTAGCAGAATTCTGTTCATAAGGAAAGTATAAAAACAACATAAAGATGCATGTGCAAGATTTCAGTCTGGGGTCTGGAGAACAAAAATAAAAAAATTAAAAATCACAAAATGTATTTTAATAGTAAGAAATAAGAAGTAAAATAATATTTTAGGGGAATAACATTCTCATATCCTTGCAACATATACAGTATATATATATACAGTATATGTATGTGTGTGTTCAAGAAAACTTTTAGGTTGCATTGTTCTATTTTTCTAGTATATATAGTGTGATATTGCTATGATATGGTAATGATTTGAATATGGTAATCATTCAGTACCATGATAACATCCCAAGATATTATCTGATATCTGATGCGGTTTCTGTAGCATGGTGCCTCCACAGTATCTTTTTGTAAGATAAAGAGGAAATACAGTTAGTTTGGTCTCAGGAATTTTTGACGCCTCCCTGTTTGTAAATCTCACTTTATTTCTCAGTGACAGGTGTGTCACAGTCAATGCAGAGACATCATTCAATGCCAGTGCAATTTTGCAATGAATGTTTGTTGAAGGAATATGTCATTGAAGGTCAAACATGTCCATAATTATACTGTTTGTCATTATGAATGTGCTATAGGGGCCAAAGTCGTCCTTCATAACTCCAGAGAAGAGAGCCAAGCTGAAGTCAAACCCAGTTAAAGTGAGGTTTGCAGAGGAGGTGGTGGTCAATGGTCACTCACAGGTTTGACACATTTATGTTCATTCATGCTATGTTAATAATGGAGTATTCACATGTGCTTAATAACAAACAGGAGATAAAGAGGGTGATTGATGAAATGAAAGAGAGAACATGAACAAAAGATGCACAACAATAGAGAGGCATTGAGAGGGAGAGCATTTGGCAGTCTACCCAGTCTTGGGCAAACCTCAGTCAATAATTTATCAGTAATTTATTAATTATTCAATTAACCATTAATCAAAATCTTTGTGTAGCTGTGCTGACATGGTGTATAGTATAGCTACAATTTAAATAGGTGGGGGATTTATCATAAGTAATAGTTATGATAGAGCACCTTAAAGAAACAATCCACCTAAAAGTAAAAATATAATTATTTTATCATTATTTTTGAATGAACTGTTTCTTTAGGTGGACTGCTGTGAGGATGTTCATTTCCCCCGACCCGAGATGTTTTTAATTAACATCTAATTAAACAAACCCATTATCAAGCACACCACACAACTAAGGCAGTGATAAAACTGTTTATCTTTTTTTGTATGCAGCTTTTGGAGGGCTTAATCTTTTTAATATGATAATGAGACTGATAAAATTGGCTTAGCCAGAATTATTTTAACACTTTGTTGAAACAGGCAGTTGTTTGATTAATATAGCATGTGTGCTATCATTGCTATGTATTTTACATATATTTTTATTTATAATAATTATATTGACTTTGGATCCTATATTGACCTCTGACCTCCAGGGAAACTCTCTGCTGTTCCTGCCAAATGTTCTGAAGGTCTATCTGGAGAATGGCCAAACGAAGGCTTTTAAATTTGAATCTAAAACCACTGTAAAGGTACTGTAGGCATATTTATTCGCTATAGTCTGATATGTTTATTTTCAGTCAGCATTAATTATATTGCCTGTTTTATAATGTTTATTGGCATCCAAATGCAAAAAAAGCAAAAAGTTCAATGGTAAAATCATGTTTTTCAAACATGTTCCATTTACAGTACTAGGGAATTTTTGGTAGTGTTATATACACTTCCATTCAAATGTTTGGGGTCAGTAAAATTAAATAAATACATTTATTCAGCAGGGATGCATTAAATTGATCAAAAGTGACAGTACAGGCATTTATAATGTTACAAAAGATTTCTGTTTCAAATAAATGCTGTTCTTTTGAGCTTGATTTCTGAAGACTAGAGTAATGGCTGCAGAAAAGGCCTTTTTGGCATCACAGTAATAAACTACATTTTAAAATATATTAAAATCGAACCATTATTTTTCAATAAACAGATTGTTCAAAAAATAGAACCATTATTTTAAATTATAATCATATTTTACTGTATTTTTGATCAAATAAAAATACTTTTTTCAAAATCATTTAAAAATCTTACCAACCCCAGACTTTTCAGTGTTAGTGTAAATATCACTGTACATGATTATGGCAATTATTCAGTACCATGGTATATATCAAAGTACCCAACATAACCATCTAATACCATCACTGTTCCATGGTACAGTCACAGTGCCCTACAAGGAAGGTCTTCTTAGCTTTAACAAGTGTTGTGCATTAAAATTCTGTATATAATTTCACATCCTTCATGTATCCTCTTATGAAATGTGTTTTCCATCAGGACATAGTGATGACTCTGAAGGAGAAACTCTCAATCAGCCGTATTGAACACTTCTCTCTGGTGCTGGAACAACAATACAGCATCAGCAAACTATATCTACTGCATGAGGAAGAGATTATTCAAAAGGTACACACACAAACATCACATGAAAATGCAAGTTATCATTTATTCATCCTCAAGTTGTTCTGAACCTGTGGGAGGGAAAAAAAGTCATAAAAGTAGTCCAAAAGATTTTCAGTGATTATGACTTTCTTATAAGAAGCTGCAGAAATCCTTCTGCATATGGAGCGCTTTGATATTTTCATGGTGCTTTTTTTTTTTTTTTACATTTTGAGAGTCTGTGTTTGACAGAAAAAAACAAAGCCATACAGGTTTGGAACACCAAGTGAGTATAAATAAAAGAATCTTCATTTTGCGTGAAAATGTTCCTTTAACGACTTTAGTTCCTTCTTTCTACACTCATCTGTAATTGTTAAATGGCTCACATACAGTATATATCTAATACTCTTTATGTGTGACAGGTGGTTGAAAAGAAGGAGACTCACGACTACAGGTGTCTGTTCCGTGTCTGCTTTCTACCTAGAGACTTCACCTGCATGCTCAAAGATGATCCTGTGGCCTTTGAGTATCTATACTTACAGGTGTGTGCTTGTGTCTGTGTATAAACATGCATATATTTTTAAGTAATATCACCACTGATTGATGTTAGATTGTTTTTGAAGGAATAGTTTACCCCAAAAATGTAACTTTGCTGAAAATTTCCTCACCCTCAGGCCATCTGAGATGTTTCTTCATCGGAAAGGATTTTGAGAAATTTACAGCACCTATACACAATAATCCTATACAGTACCTAATCACAATAATCCACAAGTATTAGTCCAGTAGATAATGGACTCGTATTTTGACCAGAAGTGATTGTTGTGAAGAGAATAGCGAGAAAAGTGAAAAAAGAGAAAAGTGATGTAATGCTAAATTTCTCCAAATCTGATGAAGAAACAAACTCATCTACATCTTGGATGGCCTGAGCGTGAATACAATTTTCAGCACTTTCATTTTTGGGTGAACTATTCCTTTAATGTAAAATACAGTCCTTTTTTTGTGATGTATGTTTGTTTGCATACTTAGTTTGTAGACCCGTTTGTCCTCAAATGTGGGCTTATTGAGCTAATCAAAACAAAGCCTCAATTGGAAAATTAATTCATAAACAAAGCAAAGATTGTTTTGGGTGTTTGTCAGTAGTCATAATTACCTTTATAATAAAACAATAGAAGTCTATGGTATGTCCCCATTTAAACATCTGAATAAATGTGTGTGTGTGTGTGTGTGTGTGTGTGTGTAGAGCATAAGTGATGTATTGCAGGAAAGGTTTGCAGTGGAGATGAAATGTAATACAGCTCTCAGACTGGCTGCTCTACATGTTCAGGAAAAACTAGCCAGCAGTGGACAATCCCTTAAAACACCACTGAAGGCCATCATGTGAGTACACACACACACACACACACACACACACACACACAATAACACTGTGCCGTAAGTGTCCATACTATTTCCAGTAATATAAGAAAGCTTGCTGCTGCATTTTTCTAGTCATTGTTCTTAGTAAATACACTGCTATTGAAACGTTTGAGGTCAGTAAGATTTTTATTTAAAGCAATTACTATGCATTCATAGGTAAATGAATAAGTAGTATTTGATGAAAATGTATGGGATTTCCTTTTCATCAAAATGCATATGAAAATGTATTAAATTGGACAAAATTGAACTTCTATCATGGAATCATGGGGGAAAACATTATCCACAACAGTCGTGATAATAATTAGAAATGTTTCTTTAGCATCAATTCAGTATATTAGAATGATTTCTGAAGGGTCATGTGACACTGAAGACTGGAGTAATGAAAATTCAGCTTTAATCACAGCAATAAATTACATTTTAACATATATTCACATAGAAAACAGTTGTTTTAAATTGTAAACATGTTTCACAATATTACTGTTTTTACTGTATTTATGATCAAATAAATGCAGCCTTTCAGAGATTTTCAAAATTATCATAATTTTTACGATAAAAAACTGTAAAAATGCAACGGTAAAAGACTATTTGGTTAATGGTAAGTTCCCTTACTATATACAGTCAAAAAAATGTAATAAATCAAACAGGACACTTTTTCTCATTTTAAATTTACAGTTTTTGGAAGTGAGCAAGTCGTCTTATAATTTACAGTGAAAACCATAAAATTTGCATTCCCAGAATTACCTGTGTTTTTGATGGTTTTTCCATTTGATTTAAATTGTTTCTTCTTAGTTTTTTTTTTCTCATCAGTTATGTACATTAGGGATTTGTTACATCTTATGTTGTTAAAGTAATGTTTATTGCATTATTTCAGTGCTGCATTATTATCCTCTTTTACTACGGGGCCATTGAATGCTAGAATCTGATTGGCTGACGAACGTTCTAAGGTGTGCAATTATTTTCAGGGAAACGCACAGGGAACGTAGTTCCAGGCAGCTCTGGACCGCATTACATTATTATTTTGCCATTAACTCGTACATTTCAGTGCCACTATACTGCACAACCCTAAAGTGTGTGTCACATTATTCTGTCTGTACTATTTCTGTCTGAAGGAAGGAGTGGGGTATTGAAAGCTTTGTGTCCCACACCTTACTGCGAAACATGAGAGAGAAGGACTTGAAGAAAGCCATCAGTTACCACATGAAAAAGATTCTGTCTCAGGAGCCCAAACAAAGGGTGTGTGCATAAATGATTTACAAGAATGTAAATCATGTACATAATATACAGTAAACTGTCAAATTAAAAACCTGTGGCAGTATGTGCCAGGGATTATTTTAAATTGTTTTTTTGATATATGCCATATTACTGAATGATACCAAATCAAGGTTCAGTATGATGGTTTTTACTTTGAAAGAATATTATGGTTCATGAGAAAAAATCCATAGTTTTGCCATGGTACACACCAAAAAAAAAAAGGTTTTAGAATGATTCTTTTTGTATTCTTTGAAAGTGAAGTACAGTATGACATGTATTTACATTATTTTCAATGTGTTTTCATAGGTGATCTCAGTGGATCAAGCTAGACTGAACTACATGAATGAGATGTCTGAAGTCAAGTCCTATGGAGGAAAGGCTTTTAGTGCCACTATGATGGTAAGAGATGCATTGAGAGTCTTAATAGCCACTTTCAAACATGAAATCCATTAAACTGCAGTAAAAGTTTGACAGTAAATGTACTCCACCTGCATTTACACATGCAATGGCTTTACATCTTTCATCCGTTTCACATACTCTCACTCACACATCAGCACCGAAATGGCATTTCAGATGTCAGAGAGTCAAAGAGAGCTAACAGTCATTTCTTTCAACAAAAAAAAAAAACCTTTCTCACTGACACCAAACTTTTGAACAGGAGTGTATTTTTTTTCATGTTTTAGTCACTGTATACATGTGAGAAAATATATATTTAATTTTCACTAAACATTAAGCTTGCTTTAAGAAAACATAGACAATTAATAAATTATTTGTTAGATGTTTACTGTGGAATAATAGCTTGAATACATAGAACGCTATAAATTCATGAACACACTTTCACTACAAAACAATGGCACAAAACTACTGTCATAATTTTCATAAACCCATTCTAACTGATACTTCAAAGACCATCACAACTAATTCTTACAATTTCAAATAAATGTTGCAATTTCACATAAATTATTTTACATAAATGTAAATGCAGATAACTTTAACTTAGTGATGTTTGCTTGGCATAAAGAGTCAAGTAAAGATGAGTGAATGTGAGATGTGAAATGCAGTGGATCATTGTTTGATATTTCATACAAATGTTCGTAACAACCCGTTTGGTTTATCCCCCATCCTTCCTTCATTTTTTTGCTGCTGTCCATTCTTTCATATATCACAGTCTTCGTTTATCACATATCTTTCTTTCACTCTCCCTGTCTCTCTCTCTCTATATATCTCTCTCTGTTTAACTAGCTGCAGGACAGGGAGTCAATAGTGAGTTTGTTGGTGGGAGCTCAGTATGGGGTGAGTCAGGTGATCAACCACAAGCTGAGCATCATGACCACCCTAACTGAATTCAGCTCTATTACCAGAGTGGAATTATTACCTGAGTCTGACAGAGTTAGTCTGGTCAAGATCTACCTGCAGGATATAAAGGTATATAATATACAGTACATACTCATACTCACATCTACATATATGTACACTCAGTATAATCCTTTCATTGCTCTCTTTCTTTAATATTGTCACACTTTTCCTATCTTCAGCCAATAACCTTGCTGATGGAGTCAGTGGCAGCTAAAGATTTATTGTGTCTAGTTGCTGGATACTGCAGACTTCTCGTGGACCCCCAGATCTGTGTGTTCCCCTGGTCAGATCATTCAAAGAGCCACCGAATATCAGCAGAGGAAGGTACTGAATTACTGAATTCTTTGGTCTGGCAAAGCTTTGATCAATTTTGAATATTGAAAATCCTCTTGGAGCAAGAGAAAACATTGCTGCTCTGATTTAAACAAAAGAAAAATCTTCATGCTTCAAGCAGAATCTAAGAGCTCCACTTCCACTCCACACTGCTCACATACTCTGGTTGTACATACAATGTTCTAAAAATAGCAAGTTGTGATATTAGGTTACATAGAATTTTTAACAGTGGAAACTGTTTGCATCTTAGCAGTGCCTATAAAATCACAAGGTATATGACATTTATGTCATTACTGTGAAAAAAAAATTGTGACAAACACAATTGGAACTAACTGTGAGTAGCGAGTATCAGCAGAGGAAAGGATTTTCTGTTAAGGAACTGTGAAAAATGTGACCACTGTTTGCATGTTGACAAAGAAAATGTTCACAGTGTGATTTATCTTAATTTTGTCTGTGCTTCTGCCATTGTGTACAGGTTATGTGTCACACTGTGGCAGTGACTCTGACGACTCAGACACAGACGTGGATGCTCTCCTTGCTCATGTTGCTAGCACTGCCAAAAGCAACAACACAGCAGATAAACCCAGTGATAAGCTACCAGAAGAAACTGAAAAAGCACAAAGATACATGGACAAAGATGAAGAGGTGGAGAAGGAAGGATGCAAAGAAGAGGAGGTGGTTGAGAAGAAGGAAAGGGAGGAGGACAAAGAAACCATCCATCAGTCTATAAATGGTAATAATGGAAAGACAGTAGAAATAGGCGATGAGAGTGTAGGCACAGAAAAGGAAAACAAAGAGCAAGAGAAAAAGCCTGAACAACCTCAGTGTGTCATCATTGTCGATGACCCATCATCTGAAGCATCTGATTCATACCAAACTGAGTCACATTTCATGACCAGCATGTCCAGTGACTCTATAGATGCCCTAGAGGAGGACGACCTCATGACCTACTTTTCTACCAGACGCCCATGCCTTTTACCAGTGAAAGATTCTTACTGCTGTGAAGATCGCTATTCACCATCATTGTCTCCACGGCAACCGTACAGCAAAGATTCTCACTCCCAAAGTGACCCGTGCTCTGCTGATTCCCATTGTGAACCTGATATTGACCAATTCTTTTGCTTTCCTGCACTCTCAAATATTGCTGAATGTCTACCTAGTCCCCCTGCAGCCAGTGAAGAGGAGGACTGTGAGGAGCTGGGAATAGAGGATGAAAAACATGAAAAGGGGTCACCTGCAAAATGTCCTGGAAGCACCCTAGCTCCTCCTGTGGACTATGTGTTCACATTTGTACAAGGAGACACTAGACACTATTACAATATCTGCACCAATGTTACCCCAGACAGTGCCCGGAGCCTTCCACGACCTCTCTCTCCTTCAGGTCCTATGGAAACACAACCAGATCGGGAAAGAGGGGAAGCGAATCAGAGAGAAACAGTGCCAATTTTTCAACCCCCACCAGGGTTTGGAGAAAGCAGTTCAGATGACGAGTTCTTTGATGCTCAGGAAAGATTCACACCAGCTGAAGAAACCTCTTCAACAGCCATGACAAGAGGTAAGACATAGGGGAGATTCTCCATGAAATGTTCTCAAAATATTTCTATAACGTTGTAGAAGTTAAAGAATGGAGTAAAGCATATGAAAAATAGTCATGTGGAGTTTTGCTAACAAATACTCACCAAATGTATTTGCTGATATTTCTCTTTATAGAAGATTCTGAAGAGTCAAGCACCATATTACAGACACTAAGCCTGAGGGAGATTGGCATCTGTGCAAGTGACCAGGAGGCAGAAGAGAAGAAACAAAAGGAGGAAGATAAAATGGTTACTCAAGTTGAATTGTCAAATTTCAATAAAAGATCCAAAAAGCGTCGCTCATTCATGGAAACAAATTACACATCCCTGGTATCATTCCCAGAACAGGATCATTTAGATAACAGCTATGGAAATAGCGTCCCGAACTATGGTTCTATATCAATTAACCAAGGTGCTGGCCGAATGGCATGTTTTGAAGGTGGATGCTCAGATCAAGGTCCATGTCCAACAGTCTCATCCCTAACTGATTCTGAAGGAGAACCAGCGCAACTGGAATCCAAACCCATCAACCCGTCCAAAGTCAATGGATCAGGACCACATAATCCCACTGATACACAAGTGGGATCACACTCAAACAAACCATATCAGCGGAAACAGCAACTTATAGAGATGGAACCAGATTCCATGGAGTTCAAATCAGTCAATGAACTAATGTCTACTGCATCGCCAGCTATAGTAGCAGTACGCTCCCGCATGGACCTACAGGATAAAGGAAGCACCAGTAACCATAGCAGAGATGATCAAGAGGAGGGTACAGTGGGAGGTCTATTTGAGAGACTGTTTGGAGACCACTTGTTCTTTGATATGTCTAAAGGACAGTGTGATAGCAGTGTTTTATTTGGTCAAAGAGATCAGGTAACCAAACAAATGGAAGATTTTTTCCAAGGCAGTTCAGTGACTCAAAAGAGCAGCTCACTGCCAAGACTAGGCCAGATATCCCCATCAAGTTTACCCTACTTCCATGTCCCGAGCATATCATACACCACAAGCCCTGATGTAGACAGAGACGACAGTTTTGTACATCTACGATTTGGGATGGGTAACCACTCAGTGGAGCCAACAGAGAGGACCAGGAGTCAGAGTATATCTGCATCTTTTGGTAGTGGGCCATCAAGGCACTTATTTTCCCAGCGAGTCAGAGGACCAGAATTTGATGAAACTGACAATAATTGTGACCCTTCACTCCAAGAACTGTCTTCTGGTGTTCCGTCTTATGAACCAGCCCAAAGGTTCCTTCTTACACCCTGTTCATCCGGCATCCTTGGGCGACTCTCTGCCTCAACATTGCGGGGAAAGATCCAGAACCTTCCCCTCTACTTATCACGTTCCCAGGAAATGCTAAATGGCAGTTCTGATGGCAATGGCAATGTTAAACCTCTGAGAAGACTTTCAGAAATACAACTACAAAAAAATGAAGTTGAAGTAGCAAAAGAGGCAACTGAGGATGTGACGTTGAATGATGGTTCTCCTGAAGTTACAGAGGTAAAAGTGGTTACCATAGTATCTGAAGAGGTCACTGAGGTCATTGAGGAGGTAAGAGAGGTCAGCCACATTGGCCTCAAAGCATGTGGACAGCTGAAAACCAAAACTGAACCTAAAGAGTTTTCTGGAATAGCCATAGGGGAGTTTTCTGGAATGTGCTCCAAGGCAGACAACTCTCTCCAAGTCAGCCCCTCATCCGTAGTGGTTACAACACAGAACTTAAACGGACCCTGGGGGGTGGTAACATCTAGTGGGTTACAAGAATGTAGCCACCCACCCTCAAGCACAACACCCCATAACTTTACCTCTAGCTGTGGGGTTTTCGCAAACTGCCAGTCCAAACCTACCATAGCCCAGCCAAAATCCTTGCCCAGCCCAAATCAACATGAGAAACCAGACCTTAGCTGCAGCTCGGTACTGGCTATGGGGTGTAACACTGTAATGGAGGGTGCTCAGACACCTTTAGAGGTCTGCCATACAGTATACACCAACTGTTTCAGTGGAGTTCTTGACAGCTCCAGCTTCGATTATGAACTCACTGTATATGAGTTTTCCCGCAGAACGAGCCAGGGTGAAACAGGGGATGCTGTGCTGAAATCTGTCCCTCCTTCCTCCCTCTCTGCATCCCCTGCATCTTTCTCTCCATCTTCTCCATTGCCCTCATTCCCACATCTAGTACTGCCTGCATCTTCATCTACAGAGCTCAGTCCCCTTCTGTCTCCATTGGATGCTCCTGACTGCTTCCTTTCGGACCCTCATGAAGATATCATCACTTCGCTGCTGACTCGTCGATATCCCCTACCACCAACAGGATTCCTTTCTTTGCAAAAGGATGTAGATACCCTCTTAAATGTCCTTGCTGGCGCTATGAAAAACCAAGATGGGGTCCACAAGCACACCAGGGATACCTGTGTGGCTCACTTTTCAGAGAACAAAAGGCGATTACATGCAGAGGCTCGGGGGCTTTTAGCTGGATGCCAACGCGTGGTCAGAGTTGGGCAGACGCCAGAGGAAACACTTCAATCATTGTCTGAAAGCTTCCGCTCACTGGTACAGCTGACAAGTGTGTGTTTATGTTTCTCTAACTGCCAGCGATGCAGGGAGCGCCATGCCCAAGCACTTACCGGACTAGCAAGTGTTGCAAAAACTTATCAGGACTTTGCTCGGGCAGCAGAGCTAGTGGGAAGTGCTACCGAAAGAAAGACTTGTCATGATCTCAGTATTAAACTTCTGGCTCGCCAGTGCACTGCGCTAACGACCTCAGTCTTCTGCCTCACCCAGCTCTTTCGCACTCTCACTGCCCTTTAGTGTTGTCAAAAGTACCGATGTCGGTACCAGTCGGTACTGAAATTTAAAAAATGTGACGATACCAGCATTTCCCGCTAGCATTTTGAGAGCTGTTGTGTGAATTTTCAAACACCTCTGATCGGTCATTGTGTTCACGCGCTCCTGTGTGTATCTGTGAAAGCGCTTAGTGAAGAGTGTAAAGCGATGATCATTGTAGCCAATCACAGATGAGCGCGAGAACACAATGGCCAATCAGAGGTGTTTGAGACTCCACACAACAGTGCTCAAAATGCTAGCGGGAAATGCTGGTATCGTCACATTTTTTAAATTTCAGTTCCGACTGGTACCGACATTGGTACTTTTGACAAAACTACTGCCCTTTGACCTTTCAACAGTTAAATTGAGTATTTCCCCCCCCCAAAACGGCAAGAAACCTGTCAGAATAACTCAAATGTGGTTCAAATAGACTTGTTGTGGTATAGAACATCAACATTGAGGCAGTGTCCAAGCCATACCAGTAATAAGCGTGCACTATACACTCACACATATACAGACACTGAAACATAAAACCTGCCATTTAAATGTTTTGAATGGATTAGCCTAAAATGACAACTGTACTGAGACCAGAATTTCTAAACAGGGTATTAAACAGCTTGTTTTACAGTATTTATATGTTGGATATAAGAATTTAGTATTGAATGTAATTCTAAACCATAACTGTCTTTGTTCTATGGTTGTCAGTAATTTATTCTTCTTCATGAGGAAAGCATAGACAGGGATTTTGCATAATGTATATTCCAACATTCTCTGCTTTCTTTCTCATATTTGCTCTCTTTTGCTTGCTTTCTCACTACCGTTCTCACCAGTGTTATGCACATACAGTATATACTCTTCTCTATGCTATACCTATATTGTCTATTAGGGAATGTTATAAAAACCTTTCTGCAGTAATCGCCTGGGTTATAAATGTTTACTAAATACAAACAATATTTTACTTGAGTTGCCAGTAACGTTATTATGTGTTCCTTTCGAAGAATATACCAAAGCCTATGGATGAATGATTTTGCAGTGAATGCAGATTCATTCAAAGGATTCTACATTGACTTTTGCACATGCTTTAGAGTTATGACTTCAGGAAGGGGGGTTTATTTAGATCATTAGATAATTTTGTGGGAAAATAACAGTTACATTTTTGCTGCCATGGATTTATTTTTCACTGATGAGTTATTCCTTTAGTCATTCCTCCCCCTATAATTTTCCAGAATTCACAAAACACTGCTCACATAATCATACAACAATTATAGAAAATGTTTCAAAGGTGACATGGAAAATTACAAATTTGAGTGTGACAAAATATCAAATTTCAAAGTAATTTACCTACCAGTAAGTGTCTGAATACCAAAAAGCTGCCATCCACTCTCTTCCTATAAGGCATGCTGTAAGCCATAGACATACTGTATACCTTGGAAATAGTGGGCTGCATGTAAAAAGGAATGCATGATTGAAAGAATGACCAGTGAGTGAATGAATGATTATAGCAATGAAAACTGGCTTTGTAATGCAGTATTCACCCAATTAAAATGACATCTAAATGACTGGAGAATGTATGTTTTATTAATTAGACTTTACACCGTTCTTTTCCATTAGTGCCAACGCATATAAAAAATCCTCTATTGCATAAACTCTGCCTAGCAGTCAGAATTTTTTTTATTTTTTTTTTATGCTGCTGACCAATATGTGACAATGGATTTACCACTGACATCTAGCGGCATGGGTGTTGCACTCGAAAGTGGTGGCAGATGAACACAAGCATGAAGGGGCGGGGTTTAGGAGGACTAAATGATTGGAGAAGTCCTGCATAGTGCATACTCAACCAGAGAAGTCTATTGTTATTTTCTCCGGAAGGTGCAGTTATGACTTTACAGGTTGAATATTCATTTAATGCAGACTTGAGCATGGCGGCCCCTATGAGGCAGTCCCAGCTACTTGTAAGTCAAGTTTTATTAGGTTACTAATATGAAGTCTTCATTTAAAAAAATTCTCAAAAGTATTTGTGAAATGCCAATATAACATACACACAACTTATGGATATTCAGTCTAAATAACCAGCATTTTCTAATTTTTCACACATTTTTGCACATCACGATGCCATGAAGTCGAATAACTTATTTCAGAGCTCCTTGTTCACAGATTTATTACAGATGAGGCTGTAAATGTTTGCTATGCCTAACATCCCCAGCGTTAGTAAACAATGACATAATATATTCCTCCGTGACATGTGTAAACACTATATGCATTTCATTTAACACACAATTATCTTGTGTGGCAATTTACCCCCGGGTGTAACAACTATATGTTTTTTTTTCATATATATGCTTACAGGTATATATGCATGTGGCTATTACATAGACTGTAAAAAAATATTTAGTTTTATTGACTTTCAAAAACAAACCCACCCGGAAATATATTGCCAATATAACATACACACAACTTATGGATATTCAGTCTAAATAACCAGCATTTTCTAATTTTTCACACATTTTTGCACATCACGATGCCATGAAGTCGAATAACTTATTTCAGAGCTCCTTGTTCACAGATTTATTACAGATGAGGCTGTAAATGTTTGCTATGCCTAACATCCCCAGCGTTAGTAAATAATGACATAATATATTCCTCCGTGACATGTGTAAACGCTATATGCATTTCATTTAACACACAATGATCTTGTGTGGCAATTTACCCCCGGGTGTAACAACTATATGTTTTTTTTTTCATATATATGCTTACAGGTATATATGCATGTGGCTATTACATAGACTGTAAAAAAATATTTAGTTTTATTGACTTTCAAAAACAAACCCACCCGGAAATATATTCACTAGAGCAAAAAAAAAAGTGTGACAACTAGCCCGGTCTTCCGAACAAACGCAAAAAAACGTCAAATTGAGGTAGCAGCCCAATCATATCTGAATTTCTGTTTTATTCTAACCATTAGCCAGTAATAACGCACCTTATTATTTTAGAGAGAAAAAAACAGCTTCCACTAATGCAGAAGGACTTTTATCGTAACCGGAAACAGGAACTCTTCTGACGTAGCATGTGGGAAATTCAAATTTTAAAAGATGTTCGAATGAAAGATGCTTTGGCAGTTTTAATTTTGTATCACATTATAAACATATGTAATTTTGAGTAACAGAGTAAACTATTGACTCTTTTTTTAATTAAATTCAAGCTTTTTTTTATTGTTTTGAACTCGCTTATATCGGCGTTTTAAAGTGAATCATTGGAGCACAGCTGGTGAGTAGACCAACATGTTGGTCAAAACAAGCCATTGTTATGACTGCTTTCGCTTGTGTTAACTTGTGTTAGTTTGACCCAAGTATATTTGGAAATTTTAACCTTTGTGGAATATGCTGATGCATCCAGTAACGTTACTTTGCTCCGCGGGTATCCGAGTCAATAAAGTTAGTAATGTGAGCTGTCTTTCCACATTAGAAACCAATCGAGAGCATAAAAAAAAAGAGAGAGAGAGCTTTTCTAAAGATAGTCATCCCGCATTGACAGAGTGAAAAGTAAGTATAAAAGCTACTCCTTGTGGTTCAACCTTCTGATTTGTGTTTTTGTTGCAAACGTGAAGAGTTTTTTCCATTAAAAAAATGCTGTTTTGATGCAGGTGTAAGTGTCCTCAGCATGCCTGTAGACAGCACTTCTGAACTTCTCAAGCACTATGAGGTTTATGAAACCATTGGCTCAGGTAACGTTCATTAATTATGCTTTTATATAATGCTTTAGAGATGCATTTGAGAGAAAGTCGTAAAAGAACATAAATAACAAATTTAGTTTTATTCCCATTCTAACCCATAGGTGGGTTTGCCAAAGTCAAACTTGGTAGACACATACTGACAGGAGAGAAAGTGGCCATCAAAATAATGGAAAAGAAAGACCTAGGGGTAAGATCTTCTCCTTAAAGGGATCGTTCACCCAAAAATGAAAATTCTGTCATCATTTACTCACTCATGTCGTTCCAAACCTGTATGAGTTGCTTTCTTATGTTGAACACAAAAGAAGATATTCTGAAGATTGCTGGTAATCAAACAGTTGGTGGTTGCCATTGACTTCCATAGTAGGAAAAAAAAATACTATGGAAGTCAATAGCAACCACCAACTGTTTGATTACCAGCAATCTTCAGAATATCTTCTTTTGTGTTCAACATAAGAAAGCAACTCATACAGGTTTGGAACGACATGAGGGTGAGTAAATGATGACAGAATTTTCATTTTTGGGTGAACTATCCCTTTAAATCTGCAATATCAAAGCAATAATCTCAAATAGGTTAGCATGGCCTGAAAGAAACATGGACCATCTTGTTAGGGAGTTCAAATAAACATAGCAAGTACAGTCAGGCAAAAGCTGACACTGTCTGACTCTTACTGCATCAGACCTTATTAATTTCTCCTCCTTTCCCTCAATTTCGCTCATGCTCCACAGCGCAGGGTGATCGAAAGCACTAGAAG